AAAAAAAAAAAGACCTGGCACTAGCTGGGAAAAGTGTTGGGTAAGCTGAGCTGTGGGGAAGCACAACATTGTAGAGGAACATAGGATTGGAAGGGGGCCTCCTGGTCTAGTTTTGTATGTTCAGAAGCAGCTGTTTTCTCAAGGATGGCCCAAAATCGCCACTTCAAGTTCACCCACAACTTTAAGCCTTAAAACCAGAAATACCGCAGCTACAGCATGCTGTAGGTAAAACCAGGGGAGGATGAGCAAAAGCATTTCTGGGTGTTTTCTGGGTAATTATGCGCAGGAGCATCAACTCACTCCAGTCAAAAAACCTCTACATGATATGTCCCCCTCCTCCCCATGCCCCTGTTCAAAAATAAGAAAAAGGAGAGAAGTCCCTTCTTGGCCTGTATCGGTTGATCAGAAAAAGTTCTGAAACATAGGCTTGGTGGACATTTGCCAAAATGCAAGGGCAAAGACTGATGAAGGAGCCTGGAGCGGTAAAAAATGGGCTATAGTTTTAGGGGAGATGACTAGAGATTTGAATGGAAAGAGATCACATGAGATGCTGAGAAGAGCAAGAAGTAGGAATGGCTGGGAAAGGAGACTGCAAGTGGAGGAAGGCTAAGGAAGGGAGTGAAACTAGAACTTAGTGACAAAGGAGGTTGGTTCCTTGCCCAGTAACAGGTGCAGAAGATACAGGATGTGGGGACAAGGTAAAATACTCATTTCTGAGTGCATTGAGTAGAAAATTGTACTTCTGCTAGAGTGCACACTCCTCAAGCTTGAGGTAGAACCCTAAATTGCTGAGCCCTGCCATTCCTTCGCTGGTAGCAAGCATCCATGAGATTCCCTGCCCCCACCTTTCCAATGCCTGAACCCCTTTGCATCCTGATTCACAATCAGGGGCAGATTAACCATTTAGTGGGCCCTAGGCAACACTGATGTTTTAGTGAGAGATTTAAAAACTAGGAACAAATCACCTAAGAAGAAAGTGGAAGACAGGTTTAGCATGCCTTAAAAATAGAGCAGTATATCAGCAAATGTATCATAGGAAACAGTTGTGCTTTTGCTTTTGTATAATTTAATAGTTCTTAATTTTTAAATATGATTGTTTGCCTTTCTTGGTCTTAGCATAGTTTTAAAAAGATCCTGCAGTTTAAATTAAATCTTCACGGGCCTTTAGAATAGAAGTACTGACAGAGCATAAATGATTATCATCATCGCTACAGACAAATCTAAGACAAATCCAAATCTGGCAACCACCCCTGTAGCCCCTCCTACTGGCCCTCGGAGTATGAGATGAGGGGATGAGCCAGGCTGAAAAGCTTGCAACCACCTGCTTACAGCAGAGCGTGCTGCTAGGAGCATTTGCAGGAGGTGGGGGAGGTTACAGGTACAGGCATCACGGGCTGTGTGACGACGGCGAAGGCAGCAGCAGTGGCAGTCCATAGAGGAGTAGCTGCAGGTGCTACTGGAATAGCTGGGGGGCAGGTACAGGGTACCAGATGGAGTGGAGAGCATTTACCACTTCACACAAAGGGATATTGCAGCACACTTGTCACTCTCATGGCATGACACACCCTTTGGGAGTTACTGCAGTCTAAACAAATGTGAAGTAAGATGGATTAACCACTGTCTCCCAATAGGATCACATTCACCCCATAAAAATAGCCCCAGTTTCATTTCTTCTGAATGGCCTGAAAACAAAGCCTCTCCTGAACTGGTCTGAGGCCTCCCTTTCTGGCCGTGACCGTTTCTGAAAATGTTGGCGTGATACTGAAAATCAGATTTGTAATGACTTGTTTATGACTGCCTTTATGAAATTGCAGTATCGCTCTACAGGTGGCTGTAGCAGGTCATGAATGCCTGGTAATCTAGGGCTAGCAGGATTTGGCTCTGGCAGATTGTAGAAGCTGTTGATTCTGGGTGCAACACTGGGTTATATATTTAATAGTAGTCTGTAAAGTGTGAGTCCACTGTTGCTTTGCATCTGCCTTTGCATCTACCTTTGCTATCGTTTTTCTTAAGTTCATGACTGCAATTGTGGTGGTTGAAAAGTCAGGTGAGAAGTCACCCCAGACTAGGTTAAGGTTGGGGGATGCCTTTGTTCTATCATATGGATAGAGCACCTCTTCCAAGCAAGGTCATAAACTTGTTATTTTCCTTTAATTAACATGTGGAGTAGGGGAAGTAAATGTTAGTTGTGTAATTCTTTGTGCTTTTCACTTAAGTTTTTAAAAACTAATCTCAAGTGGATACATCCACTGCTATAGTGCCAGTTATTTATTTTGCCATATACATAAATGCTAGAATCTTTGCTGGCCCACGAGGAGCTTTGTGGATATGGCTTGGGTACATTTGCTCAGCACTTCCCCAGTTTGTGTGCGTGTGTGTACGCCATCCAGGCAAGTGCTCCTTTAATCAGTATCCTGCTCACTTGGCAGAGTTGACAAAAGCAACAGTAAAAGTTACAAACCCCAAGGCTAAGTACAGACATTTGGGGGCATTAGGGGGAGGTTAAATTGATTCATAATGGTTGTCTGATATCAGGTAAGCCAGGATGGCAGGGACTAGCCAGCAGGATTGGGAATCCCGCAGGCTGGAGGGGATTGGGGATCCAGCAAGCTAGAGGGCAGGCTTGACCTGTGGAGGGAGAGGAGGGCAGGCATGACCTGCAAGGGATCGAGATGGGGAGGTGTGACCCCTCAGGGTTGGGGTGGGGTCCTCCCCCCAGCAAACCCACACCCCCATCTCTCCTGCCTCTCCCCTCACTGGGACTGACTGACTTAGCTCTGGCAGCAGTAAACACTGATAAAAATGGCTGCACACAGAGCAGCCTGTGGGATGGGGGTTGAGAGGACTGGCTCAGTGGGAGCAACGGGGTGGGGGCAAAAAATAGACCAGTGCGGTAGAAGAGGGGAGTGAAAAGAGCAGGGCTGTGGCTGGGGTCAGTGGCTGGGTTTTCCCAGCACCAGGGCTGCGCAAGTGAACAGAAGTACCACGCACTTGGACAGAAGTTGTTCAGCATCTACCCCTTCCTCTCTCTTATCCAGCCTGTGCATCAAATACTGACCTTTGTTTGGTAAACTGACAAGCTGAATGCTAGACTTCAGACTTGCATTTTCTTCTGTTTGGGAATGGTAGAATGTCAAGAGTTTTGCCCTGGGTAGATGCTAGCATTTATATCAAGGTATTGTGTTAGCATTAAAAGGTGTTGTTCTGCCTTTTTTTCTTCAGGGGCTTTGCAGTTGGATTTGGTTTTTTCGGTGCAACCATCTGTGTGTGCAATGAAAGGGCTAAGTGTTGCTTAAGAGTCCCCATTGATTTGTTTGATCCTCAGTTGACAAGGAAGCAGGAAATGGGTCCTAAAGCAGAGGTATCTAAGATCTGACCAGCAAAGCCATATGATCCAGCCCCTGGTGTCATCCCTATGCAGGGCCAGTTCAGCACCCCTTCCCGTGTGCTTGATCCAGTTCCCACTCCAGTCAGTCTGGGACTGTACCGCATATGCTGCCCACTCTTGCCAGTCTGGGATGCAGTGTGCACTTGGTGTACTCACTTCAGGTGGTCTGGGGCAGCTGTCACATCCAGTGCAGTCCTGGACTAGCCAGAGCAACTTCTGGATATGGCATGCGGGAGGGTGCTTTCTGAGTCTCCTGCATGCCAGTTCCAGTGCCTGCTTTTGCCCGTCTGGGACTTGTACTGCGCATGTCCCCTGGACCAGTCTGAGATGGAGCTTCTTGGTGTTTGCATCCTGATCTGGCCAGAGTGAACACAGAAGGCACTGGATTCAGTATGTGGGAGGGGAGAGGGGTTTTGTGGGCCCAGTCTGGCCCACAGGGCTGGCCCTGAACCATTCATCTGGTCCATGAACTGGTTATGGGCCATTTATCTGGCCTGGAGCCAAATAAGTTTGACGCCCCTGTCCTAGAAATCATTCTGCTTTAGTCTGTAAGGCTATAAACAAATGTCATCCAGTGAAGCAGATGAGCTGTGCCAGGATGTGTTCCAGTACAGCTGATCCACTTCTTTGGGTGAAACAGGCATCCTGTGTTGTCCTGCAGGGTCAGGCAACTGCTGCTCCTAGGACTGGCCAGGGCTTGAGTTGCAGGAGAATGTTTGTAGCACATCAGCAAGCAAGGAAACCTGGGTTCCCCCCATCTGCAGAGACATGTAAAAGTGCCCCTATGTACTTTAATCAAGTAGCATTTACAGGATCATCTGTGCTGTTTGGTGTGGGACAGGACCAATTTTTCCCTCACTATAGGTGTGAAGGAACTTGGGACATGAATTCTTGACGCTTGAATGGCCGTTGCTACTGGTGACTAGTAGGTTAGCTGTACTTTCTCATTCTGGTCAGTCTTGCATTCACTTGCAATCTGAGAATAACAGACTCATTTCTAACACAATTCCACAATGGAAACTTTAAAATTCAAAGGATGATGACAGCTCAGCTGTTGCTTTGTGTGTGTGTATCTATATATATAATATATACATTTTTATTTTTTTCCATAAGGTCTGGGTAATGAAGTATAATCCAGGTTAACCATTTTGCTTACAAAGAAACCTGGTGCTTAGATGGTGTAGCAATCTATGTGCCTGGTCAGATAAACACTATAAACTACGATTTTGCTAATTTTAACATACCTATGACAACCATAGCAGTTGCTTATGTGAAGAAATAATTTTAATTTTAGTAGTAATTGAGTGCAGTTTAGCATTTCAAATAAGAGGCCAATGAAGTCCAGCTCCAGATACTATGAAAATGTCAGCAGTTAGGCTTAATGTTTGAGGACAAAAAAATACTAAGCCGTATTTGTAAAGGTAAAACAGATGTTTTGGAATATTCTGAAAATGATATTCTCTCTCTTTCCAGGTGCATTTTACTTGGTGTTTGAATATATGGACCATGACTTAATGGGACTACTGGAATCTGGCCTGGTTCATTTTAATGAAAATCACATAAAATCATTTATGAGGCAGTTGATGGAGGGTTTGGCCTACTGCCATAAGAAGAACTTTTTGCACAGAGATATTAAATGTTCTAATATTCTTCTAAATAATAGGTATGTGAATATAAGTATATACAGATATGTTATACACTAATACCAGACTTGTCCATGGTTACCCAGCTGACCAATGGCAAAAGTGGGAATAGAATACAACTATTCCTAGTCCTTGCCTTGTGCGCTAGTCATTAGAGCACCTGCCATGTTTGCAGAAAGTACTCCTTGGATGTTACGTTTAGTTACACATATGGAAAACAGAGTCTTCTGTGGCTTCCACAGGGAAGTGCAATTGCTGATGAGCATTTGCTTATGAATTAATACCTTGATTCTGTACAGTTTTCAGTTAAAGTGTACAGTATACAACAGGGGTGGCCTCTGCCACTTGTGTGACCTGTTGGCAACCACTGGTAGATCAGAGTGGGGACAGACAGCACAGCAGGAGATGGGACAGGGAACAGAAAGAGCAGGAGATTGGACTGGGGAAGGAGATCAGAGTGGCACTTGGGGAGGGTGCAGGGCTGATTTATGGCACATCTGTATTCAGGTTGCTCCTCGTGTACAAAATGGTGGTGTCCCCCTTCAGATGTTTGCTAACATAGTTATTTAAGTGCTTTTACATTTTTTGTTTTGAATCTTACTAACATACTGCAAAGGACATGCCTGCATTTATCAAGAAGTATTACAAAATGTCCTGTTTCGCTTTTTTAAAAATATTGAAGGCTAGTGTACTCCATAATTGAAAAGATTATTTAGTAGTGTGAATTAGCAAGGGTCATCTGAAGCTATCTGAACATTTGGCACCTACTTAATTTTGTTTGCAGACCTCTTGATGAGATTATTCACTAAACAGTTATTTGTTCCTTTTCCACCAGAGGGCAGATTAAACTTGCAGACTTCGGGCTTGCTCGGCTGTACAATTCGGAAGAGAGGTAAGATAATGCTGCACTGGAGAAATATTTTCTTTTAAATCCTTATACCATATTTTTCACGTATAGCCCACACCTTTTCCTCCAAAACCAGCTGGGGAAAATTGGGGTGTACATTATACACAAAGAAAAGGAATCCCTATGGGTCTGAAAATTTGGCAGGGGGTAGGGAGGAAGGAGGAACAGTGGCAGTGTTAATTGCCATGGACCTGGGAGCCATGTCAATTAAACGCTACCACTGCTTCCCCTCCTTCCCCCACTGTCAAATATCCTGACTTGTTGGGTGCTATACTCCCCACCCACACACCAGATCAGGCTGATGCATAGGGTTGGTCCGTGGCCAGACTTGCTGTGCTGAGTTCGACCTAGCTGAGTCTGGTGTGCCTGGTCCACTGACATGCTGGCTCTGGAGCTACATGCCACATGGGACACAGCACCTGGAGCTGGCACATGGGGTTGGACCTGGCACATCAGTGGTTCCAGAGCCCACACATGGCCTCAAACCTGGCATGCAGCGCCGGACTCAGTGTACCCCTGGGCTGTGTGGCCCCAGACCCGCTGCATGAGGTTGGACTGTCGGTGTTGGATTGGTCTGTGGGCCTTATCTAGCCCAAAGGGCTAGCAGCAGCTCAGGCTTGCCTTGGCTGTTGCCCTAATTGCTGCCACGGTAAGATCTTTTTTTTCATAGTTCCTTTTTAAAAACAGGATGTGTGTTATATTCAGGGATGGAATCTATTAAAAAAAAAAAAATACAATAGTACCAGGAGAAACATTTTTTTTATTCTTCTGTTGGTAGCGTCAGAGTACACGAGAAATGATTAGTGGGGAGAGAATGAAGAACACCTGTAGTCATGGTGCTTTAAAAAGTGAAGATTGTGTTTGTGCAATACCAAAGTTTTTGTCTTTTCAGATGTTTGACAAATGTATTGGAGTTTTTTTGTTTCTTTTCCTCCTAATTGTTTCAAAATACCATTGGTTGGGGGGTGGCTTCTTACTTGAGCATTCACTAGTTGTTTTATGTCCTTTCTTTAAACCTCCAAGGATTAGTGACACCCCAGTTAATCCTTTCATTTTCAATCTAAATTGATTGGAAACAAAAGATTGCTGTTAAGTAGTCTGCCTGATTGCATAAAATAATATTTCTATTTTGTAGCTTAAAAACTATTATCCACCTCTTTCTGCACCAGGAAAGGGTTCAAATAGGAAGAAAAAAGTAACATTTTGCTTATGCTGAGTTTATCCATTGCAATATAGGTATTTTAATTTTGTCCTCTGGGCAGACAAGTCTGGCGAGCTTTGAAGAACAGATACGGGAATGGTTTTATTTAAATAAAAATTTGCTTTGCTTTAGTTTTTGAAAAGAAGTACTTTAAAATGAGTTTGATCTTACAGTTGATCTCTGCTCCTGTTTGTATTTAAGCAAACAGCTGCAGAGTTTATATGGTATAGTAGTAATTTGTTATAAAGATTTGCAATTAGTCTCATGCTCATTTTTAAGTTTACCTTGTACAAAAGGTAGTGTGTGGTCTGGTTCACAAAAATTAGGAGCTATAGTTTACATCATAAGGAATACACATTGGATACTTGAACACAGGTTGTATGCACACATTTGACTGGTGCATACCTGATACTGAAAATGAGGTCTATGGTGTTGATGCCATACAGCATGATTGTTTACTATGGATTCCAGTGGTAAGCATTAGGGCTCTGCAAAGCTTCAGTCGCTGATTCAATTCAGCAGAGATTTGGCCCAGTTTGGTGGCCAAATCTCCGAATCCAAATCAAATCAGGAGACCCTTTTGATGTTTCTGAATCAAATTGGAGAGAATTGACGATTTGAACATAGATACAGCTTTAAATGTATTTTCTATATAACTCAATGTACCAGGTGGCTTGTGAATGCTGAGGTGCTGGGGCAGATAGAGCATACCAGGGGAGCACAGGCGGAGGGAGTCCCCAGCACATTTGGCAGTGGACCCGGAAGTGGACCAGAAGCACTTCTGGTCCGCTTCTGGGTCCACTGGGGAGTGCACAGGGACACTCCCCCACCAGCTTAGCAACTGGTGCCTCCTGGGTCTGGGGGTTACCCAGGGTCCCCTCATGGCTGCTTGCTGAGAGTGGGGAGGGTGTCCCCCACATGCTCCCTGGTGGACCTGGAAGTGACACCCCCCCCTCCCCCCCAAATGCTCCTGCAGAACGTTCCATCCACCCCGCCATTGCAGTGTTCATGAGCCGTGCTGGTACCTTGAGGTATGTAGAAAAAACGTTTAAACTGTCTACAGCCGAATCGCTGATTCTCCAAATCAACATTGAATCTTCAGATTCAGATTCAGCCAGATCGGATCGGGACAGTGATCCGAATCAACAAATCAAATCACTGTCCCTGAGTTGGGCCAAATCCGAATCAAATACAGCCTGTTTCATACGCCCCTAGCAAGCATGTTTTGATGGTAGTGTTGTTGGTTTCAGTGTATTGTGTTTAGCCAGCTGCATTAAGTTGAGAATATAAATTTGATGCTGAAAAACAATTTTGCAAGTTGTCATGTGAAAGGAGAGTTGCAGGGAAGAAGGGCGAATAATTTAAGCAGCTGTTTGGAAATGTTTTTTTCATGGAGACACTTGTTGCAAAGTGAATGAACTGACAGGTGGATGCAGCCCTAGCACAGTACTGTTCAGTGTGTGCCAGGCTTATTTAATGTTCGTGTAACTTCAAGTTTTGATAGTGTGGTTGGCATTACCAGATGGTGTTGATGTGTAGATCAAGTGTTTGTTAATACTTCCTTAATTAATGGAACATATAGCTTGCGAATGGTAAAACTTAAAATTCAGATGGAATAAACCTAACCAGCAACATTATTACTTTATCAACATAATGAAGATTAAAAGGTATCTATGTTGGTTGGCATAACTTCATATTAACTTTAGAAGGTTAATAAGAAGCTGGTTAGAAGCTCTTGGCAATTGATTTGTCAGTCAGGTGCCTGCTGAGTGTTGTTTTGACCTGGAGTAATAGCAGTGATTCTGCGTGCTTTTAAACAATTGTATTATAGAAGCTTTTCTAAATTTTCACTTATCTATATTTTGATATTTGATTTACTGACCTAATTACATACTGTTTAAAAGGATTTGAGATTTAGCAGCAGGAGGAAATAATTTAGGTGTTACTTCTTTCAGTGATTTCTAGATTTACACTCTCCATTTGTCAAACCCAATTTAAAATAGAATTTTTAAATAAGGTACAAATTGTATTTCTAAAAGGCACTTTCAATTCTGTGCTCAACTTGTGAATTCATAGATTTTTGTATGTGGAAAGGGAGGAGTTGTCTCCATACCAATAAAATATAATTAGTTTGTATTCACCTGACTTCCACTCAACTCACCACTAGTCATTGTATTCATAGGCTGCTTAAAATCATTCCCTAAATTATGAAAAATGTTTGAGTATCGCTTTGACAGATTGTGAGCTTGATGGTTGGCCCAATGGAGACCTCACTGGATCCAGCCAACAATTAACTAATTGCCAGTCTGGTGGAAATCACATCAGAGCTGGTTCTAGACCCCAGCGCCAACTGACATTTGGCTGATTGTGGGGTATCCAGATTTCAGCTCGGGAGCCTGTGTTCCTCCTGCACTGGCAAGCATGAAAGGGGTCTGATCTCTGATCCCTGAGTTGCATGTATAGCATGGCAGGAGAGACAACTGTTGGGATCAGAGATCAGATTCCATTGTACCTTTAAATGAGCTTTTGTCAGTGGCATTACACTCCTGTGGCATTTTTTTTATTATTATTTTTTTTAAATCTGTTTCTTTGGCAGAAATGGCCATGCTTGTAGCACACTTATAGAAGGTGACTGATGACTTCAGTGCATGGGCATTACTCTTTTCAGTTGATGCTGAAGTCCCCATTGTAGGTCAGTGTCTTGTCAGGAGACATTTGCCCTGCAGGTAACTATTGTGGTCATTAGCCAGGAGGAACATTAGCCTGAGAGAGGTTGTCCTAGAAACATTTTAGAGCTGGCAATCTTGACCAGCACCATGCAATATTCCTGTTGTTTAATTTGAAGTCCACTTAAGTTATTCAAATGCATTCCTTTGTACCTGTATGCATTTGTGGTTTGAACTCGATTGCCGTCACCAACAGAGCTTAATTGATTCAGGCTGAAATAGGACTTTGCAGAGGTCCAGAATGTATAGTAGGAAAGCTGAAATAGGCAATTCCTATTGAATATTTGCTGTCTTCAATGCTTAAATCTGTGCTGTCCACATGGTAAAATACTGGAATCTGAGCTCTAAAATGGTGTTAAACGTAATCTGAGGTTAGCATCCATAATTTAAAAAAAATATTGATGAAGGAATGAGTGAAGGAAGATCAGAATTGATTACCACATGCCCTGTGCCATGAGCAGCTGAATTCTGTATTACACTGGAAATCCTTCTGTGGTTCCTAAGTAAACACAAATGTAGAAACTCTTATAGCATTAAATACAGAAGAAAGAGGTGCTGTATTGTTAACTTCAGTCATTTTAATATACCCTTCAGTTTTCAGTCTGGTAAAATTCTAGTGGGTTTCTTGGGGAGTTGGTTTTGAAGAGTTGGTAGTGCTACTGTTAATAACCTTATATCCAGGAGGATCTGAGAAGAACTGAGAGTGGTGAAACTAAAGAGGCTAACTAAATATTGTTAACCTTTAGGTTTATTGTCCCATCGAAGTAGGTGATAGTCTTTCATGATTAGGAGGTATTTTTTCAGGCTGCATTTTGGTAGACTCATTTAGGGAGCTTTTTGTTTATTTTTATACGACGGCGGTGATGGTGGACTCAGACTAGTAACAGGGACATTACAGAAAGTGGAACATTTTATTTTTCTCTTATTTTTTTAGAAATCTAGACTGGTGTTTTTCTTGTTTTGAAGCTATAGTTAAAGTTTGAACTTTCTCTTTTTTCCCAGTCGACCATATACCAACAAGGTTATTACATTATGGTACCGGCCTCCTGAACTACTGCTTGGAGAGGAAAGATATACACCAGCTATTGATGTATGGAGCTGTGGGTAAGGATTTTTAATGCAAAAGTAGATGAAGTGTAAGCCATGAACCAAAAGTGAAACTCTCTGATCCTAACAGCTATATTGATGGAATTATGTAAACCTTTATTTTACAGATGCATCCTAGGTGAGCTTTTTACTAAAAAGCCAATATTTCAAGCAAATCAGGAACTTGCACAGCTGGAACTAATAAGGTAATTTGTATGCACTTAACAAAACTTTTACTTTTCCATGGGTGCCAAAACAAGGACTTACAATAGCAACATTTAAAGTATGTCAGAATTGTTGCCCAGAACAAAAATGGCGGTAACTTTTGGGAAACTGTAAAGCAAAATGACCTTTACTTGGAATTGAGTAATTTTGTAGTCTTCATGGGCTTGGTGAGCTGGGCTTTTTATATATATTGAAGCTAGAGTTGCTCTCTGCTGACTTACTGAAGTCTGTGTCGGAGCAGGGCATTTGACATGCCCTCTCTTAAAACAGATGAGAGAGTAGCTTCCTTCCTTCCTTACTTTCCCTCTGCAAATTAAAGGCCAACATGGAGGTGGACATTTGAAGGACAAAGGGGAGGGCATTCCTCAGGAAAAGATTCTCTGCATACTGCTGGCCTCTGTTGTCACTTGGGTCTTCCACATAGCTGCACAAGGACTTTTGCAGGAAAGAGCTTCTCTGCCTTCCATAAATTTCCAGATCCTTGTAGATGTAAATATTCTCTTCTCGTCACCCCTATAAATCTTCTTGGGAAGTTCTTGCTTTGAATTCATACAGAGCCTCCTTTCCCAGTTCAGCCAGCAAAGTGCTTCCTCTTGCTTCTGATATAATTGATGTCAAAATGAGGAAGAGGTCATACCCTGAAAGCTGGTAGAAAGAGCATATAAATTAGTCCTAGCAAATGTAATAGAAGCCCAGAACAACTTTCACCTGAACTTTTTCATGAGAGAGGTCAGTGATGCTGAGATGCCGAAAAGTATTGATTTACGTTTAAATGCTTTATGTAACATGTAGGAAAGGTGGTCTTTACAAACAGCCTTTTAGGAAGTGTAAACCATGGCAGTAGTCATTCTGTTGCTTTCCACTAGTGTAGTGGTTCCCAAACCGTGACAGATTGTGCACTACCAATGATACAACTTTAAGTACCACCAGCAAATTTTTGCCATATAAAGTAATTATAATAAATCTGTTAACGTGTAGCACTGATGGGTTGCCTGCATGCCACAGATTGGGAACTGCTGCGCTAGTGAAAATAAATTCATGCTGTATGAATGTGTTTTCTTTATCCACTAGATGGTAGTGTAGCACTTAATTCCAGCTCTTGTGTACTTCACAAAACTCAGTAGAGTTTTGTATAGATTTAACTGATATCGCTTGCTGTTTGCTTCTTGCTATTAAAAGGATATTCAAATAGATGATCATTAGCTTTGCTGCTTCCTCTTTCCTGATGCCCGACATTTGTGTATCAGTTTAAAACAGCAGGATGATTTCTGGCATGTTTCATCTGGATCTAAACTGCTTGTCATAGCATAGTTCTTAATCATGTATTTGTAAGTTCTTAACTTGTAAAGATATTTACCAGTATCATAGATGACAGGCAAAATATGACAGAGTTCATCCTTTTCCATTTCCCATCCGTCGAGTCCTTCCCTCCAGGACCGTATGTAATGCCAAATCAGGAAAAGTCGTAGTAGAAAAATAGCATTTTTCCATTTTTTTTTTTTTTTTTTTTTTTTTTT